TAGGTATCACAGTTAGGTGAGTTTAACAAAACTAAAGTTTAGGTTGTTTTAGTCTAGGTATCACAGATTGGTGGGTTTAACAAAACTAAAGTTTAGGTTGTTTTAGTCTAGATATCACAAATAGGTTGGTTTAACAAAACTAAAGTTTATGTTGTTTTAGTCTAGATATCACAGATAGGTTGGTTTAACAAAACTAAAGTTTATGTTGTTTTAGTCTAGGTATCACAAATAGGTTGGTTTAACAAAACTAAAGTTTATATTGTTTTAGTCTAGGTATCACAGATTGGTGGGTTTAACAAAACTAAAGTTTAGGTTGTTTTAGTCTAGACATCACAAATAGGTGGGTTTAACAATACTGAAGTTTATGTTGTTTTAGTCTAGATATTACAAATAGGTTGGTATAACAAAACTAAAGTTTATGTTGTTTTAGTCTAGATATCACAAATAGGTTGGAATAACAAAACTAAAGTTTATGTTGTTTTAGTCTCGATATCACAGATAGGTTGGTTTAACAAAACTAAAGTTTATGTTGTTTTAGTCTAGATATCACAGATAGGTTGGTTTAACAAAACTAAAGTTTATGTTGTTTTAGTCTAGGTATCACAAATAGGTTGGTTTAACAAAACTTAAGTTTATATTGTTTTATTGTAGATATCACAGATTGGTGGGTTTAACAATACTGAAGTTTATATTGTTTTATTCTAGATATCACAGATAGGTTGGTTTAACAAAACTAAAGTTTATGTTGTTTTATTGTAGATATCACAAATAGGTTGGTTTAACAAAACTAAAGTTTATATTGTTTTATTGTAGATATCACAGATAGGTGGGTTTAACAATACTGAAGTTTATGTTGTTTTAGTCTAGATATCACAGACAGGTTGGTTTAACAATACTGAAGTTTATGTTGTTTTAGTCTAGATATCACAGATAGGTTGGTTTAACAAAACTAAAGTTTATGTTGTTTTAGTCTAGGTATCACAAATAGGTTGGTTTAACAAAACTAAAGTTTATATTGTTTTATTGTAGATATCACAGATAGGTGGGTTTAACAATACTGAAGTTTATGTTGTTTTAGTCTAGATATCACAGACAGGTTGGTTTAACAAAACTAAAGTTTATGTTGTTTTAGTCTAGGTATCACAAATAGGTTGGTTTAACAAAACTAAAGTTTATGTTGTTTTAGTCTAGGTATCACAAATAGGTTGGTTTAACAAAACTAAAGTTTATGT